ATTGTGAATGGTGTTTATGGTCCCGATACTGTCACAGCCAATCACGCGCAATTTTGGTTTCGTCGATTCTGTTCCGGTAATTTTGATGTTAAAGATGCATCTCGCACAGGTAGGCCCGTCGTCGAGAATGTCAATAAAATTATGGAAATGATCGAAGTAGACCGGCATGTTAGCAGTCGTAGTATCGCCCAGGAGCTGAAGTTCGACCACAAAACAGTTTTAAACCATTTGCATAAAGCTGGATTCAAAAAAAAGCTCGATGTTTGGATGCCACACGAATTAACGCAAAAAAACATGATGGACCGAATTTCAATCTGCGAAGCCTTGACCAAAAGGAACGAAATCGAGCCATTTCTGAAACGGATGGTGACTGAGGATGAGAAATGGATTACATACGACAATATTGTGCGAAAACGATCGTGGTCAAAGCGCAGCGAAACGGCTTAAACGGTGGCCAAACCAGGATTAACGGCCAGGAAGGCCGTTTTGCTGAGTATTTGGTGGGATTATAAAGGAATCATCCACTATGAGCTGCTTTCATATGGCCAAACACTAAATTCGGGCCTCTGTTGTCAACAATTGGACCGTTTGAAGCTAGCGATCGACCAGAAGCGGCCAGAATTGGTCAATAGGAGAGAAATTGTTTTTCATCAAGACAATACCAGGCCACAGACGTCTATAGTGACTCGTTAGAAACTCCGGGAGCTTGGTTGGGAAGTTTTGATGCATCCACCTTATAGTCCGGACCTGGCACCAAGCGATTACCATCTGTTTTTGTCATTGTAAAACTTCCTTCATGGTAAGAAATTGACCTCAAGAGAAGACTGTGAAAATCGCTTAGTTGCGCAGAGTTTTTTGCAAATAAGGACCAGGGCTTTTATGAAAGAGGGATCATGAAATTATCTTTAAAATGGCGACAAATTGTAGAACAAAACAGTGCTTATTTGACCAAAATCGAACAATCCTAACTATGTTAAATAAAGCCTTGAAATAAACGAAAAAATAATGGATTTCTTTTTCCCCAATCTAATATATAATAATATATAATAATAATCTATAAAAATTTTCTATATCAAATATAATTTTTAGGTGCTTGCATATACATGTTTAATTAATAATAATTAATAATAAATCTGTATTACTGTTACTATGTCATTAGTTGTTAAAGATAAAATGTCAAGAGAAAAATCGAAAAAAGATTCGTCTTTATACATTTTTTTTTTAATTGAATAATAATTTAGTAATGTTTTCATGTCAATAATCATACATAATTAACATTTTTATATTAGGTTATTATCCTCACTATATTCAATCAGAAGTTTCATCAGTCCATCGACAAAATGAATCGATGGGTCTGATGGATACGATGAGTTCAGCGCTGTAAATAAGAACGCATTGATGTAATTCATCTGTGAACGAACGCTTCGTTGCATTTGCGCTTTATGCGATGAATCAACCGATGAATTAAGAAACTCACCACCCAATACTATCGCACCTTTTCAAGATTCATTGCCTGAAACTTATATATCGTATTACACGGGACAAATCCAGATTCAAGATCGAGAGTGAAATGCGAGTTTCTCAATTGAATGACGATTACAGATGCGTTACTCGTGACTAAACTTGAGAACTCGGATTTAACTGCAAACTCGGATTTGCGTGTCTATAAAATGACGCTAGTTTCAAGTCGCCGTTATTAATTCGGGTGTGAGTTATGTTTGAGAGAAAATTGAATGAAAAACCGTTTGCACGGCCAATAGGGAGCCGATGAAGCCGTATCTTTGGCAATTTGGTCACATTAATCAAGATTAATGCGAGACAATCAACCATCAATTCGAGCAAGTTTGGCTAAAGCTCCGCTTTTGCGAAACTTGACGAGATTCGTACACTGAGGAAAAAGATTTAGTTGAGTTAATGAAACATCAGTAAAATTAAACCGCAACAAACGGTTTGTTAATGTGAGACAGCAAATGACTCCGTTGTGATAACAAATGATTTGTCACTTATGATTTATAGCTCTGACCAACAATTTTACAATAGGAACAAATGGTATTGTTATGTTAATCCAACAAATCATAATTTTTTTATTTATTGGCAATACAGAATACGCGCGAGCAAAAGTTAGAAATGATGTACAGTCTGTAAAGTAAGAGCATGCACGGCATAAATGGCAGTTAGCTTCAAATATCGTCCTAGTTTTTTTGTGAGCCGATAGATGAAATCTTTGTCGTGAATGCTTTGTCACAAAAGATTCAGTTGGCGTCGAACTCTAATCTGAGAAACACGTTAACCGCCGCCGCATAAGTGCCGCATACGCATCGTGCTACGAGGCTGTGTTCCTTTGTTCCCACCCCAAAGGACCAAAAATGTCATATGCAGTGGCTGCATATGACAATAAATACATGGGAAAGTCAAAATCGTTCGTCGCTAAGTGGGTTCAGCAATATAAGACGATCAAAAATGTCGATGACTTGCCAGAACGTGGCTCGATAGGCAAAGTGACGCCGAATATGGAAAAAAAATTGTGAATTTGTTTAAGCGGAACCCGACCTTAATGCTTAAAATTTATGAGAAGTGTTTGTTGCCGACTGCTGAACGATGCTTCATAAAAAAGAAACGAGGACTGGATCTTACAGGAAGACAACGACCCAAAACACCGGAGCAAGCTTTGCACCGAGTGGAAAGAGCAGTCCTGGCATCGTCACACTTGATTGGCCATCGCAGTCACCAGATGCAAATCCCATTGAAAATGTGTGGGCATATCTCAAGCACAAGCTTCGAGGAAAAAGAGTGTGCACTTTGAATCAGCTGACACGACAAATTCGTCTCATTTGGAGGTCTTTACCGAACGAATACGCAGTCAACTTAGTGGCAAGTATGCCTCGGAGATGCCAGGCGGCAATTATCAATGCCGATGGTGATTGGACTCATTATTAATGGTATAGCATTTTTCTTTTCATGGAGTACAACAAATCCATGTACTTAAAAATCATTAAAAATAAATTTTTCTACACATTAACCCGTACACGCTCTTATTTTACAGACTGTATAAGTAAATCAGTTGTATTAACTCTTCTTCACCAATGTATAATATACAGCAAAATACATAAGATACTTAATGGAAACATACATGCTACGTATCATAATTACCAGATAATTAAATATAGCTCGATTACGTCTAATCAAACATTGCTAGAGAAGGGTTAACAAAATAATAATTCTGTATGTGTGTGTTTTACAGGAATTCGAGGAAAGAAATAGTGCAATGCGTTATTACATTAATCTTTATTTTTAGCACGACTCGTATATAGAATTAATAAAGTATTAAATGAGGTTAAGTAAAGTTAAGGGGAATATACATACAAAAGCCCATACTGTAAACGTACTTTTATTAATATAAAAATTTATAAAAGTGGTTCATAGCTACTTAAAAAAGTTTATAAATCATTTTAAGAGATACTTTTATCTAAATATGAAAGTTCAGAATATCGAGCAAGAAGAGTCACGTACATGTATACAGGGTGCTCGGGATCTTTTGGAAACGAAAAATTGTGTAGATTAATCAGATCAAACTGACAAGAAAAGTCGAATACTGTTTTGCAAAAATCGTAGAAGTTATTAAGTTATTAATGATTAAAAATGATCACAGTTGGAAGTTTTTTAATTGATAACTTGAAAACTTGCGTACTCGTTTGCAAAATAGTAAAGGAGTTTTTGTTCAGAATGGCCTGATCTACAATTATATGACAGCTATTATGTCTAGCGACAGGGTTCAAATTTCAAGGTTCAAAGCTCAATATACTCATATCTATCACTAGACACAATAGCCGTTATATAATTGTAGATTAGGTCATTCTGAACGAAAAAGTCCTTTACCACTCTGCAAATAAATACATAAATTTACAACTTATCAATTAAAAGAGCCTCTAGATATGGTCATTTTCAATCATTAATAACATTCAATAATTAATAATCATTAATAACTTAATAACTATTGCGATTTTTGCAAAATAATTATATACGTATATAATATATATATATATATGTATATATAATATATATATATATATGTATGTGTGTATATAATTGTATAAAACCACATCTAGAAGCTCTTTTAATTGATAACTTAAAAATTTGCGTACTTATTTGCAAAATGGTAAAGGATTTTTTGTTCAAAATGACTTAATCTATTTCATTCAATTCTATTTCATTATCAATTGTATAACGGCTATTGTGCCTAGCGACAGGTTCAAGATTCGAAGTTCAACATATTCACATCTATTGCTGGACACAATAACCGTCATATAATTGTAGATTAGTTCATTCTGAATGAAAAAATCCTTTACCACTTTACAAATAAATACATAAATTTACAACTTATCAATTAACCCTCTTGCGGTTCTATTTACTGGTGGAAATTAGCATTAAAATGGTTAAATTTTTTTTGCGAAGGAAAACATTTACTTTCATGTTTTATAATAGTTTTCGAACGTGCTGATTTTAGATTTGAGATTGTTGTTGCAAAATTCAAAATGGCAGGTCAAAAATGGCGGACTAGAAAATAATAAATCTTACCTCTACTCAGACTTAGGTCTAACCGTAAACCGGTTAAAAGAGCCTATAATTGTATAAAATAATGATGTACTTGATTTTTCTTCTCAGTTTGATTTGATTAATCTCCACAACATTTTTCGTTTCCGAAAGATCCCGGGCGCCCTATAATATTACGACGTTGCTATTCTTTTTCTTAGGAGTTATACATCCAACAAACACATATGATTTGCATCTCCAGCAATGTATTTGTTAAAACGAACGAAGAATGTTTTGTCGCGGCAACTGATTTGTCCCCCGTATAATCCAACAGCAAACGTTAATTTCTTGTGACAACAGAGGTCTTTTCCTCAGTGTACGTGATTGTCTCTCGCGTATTCTCCTCTCGCAGCGAAAATGCCGCAGGCAAATCTGATCGCGCAACCTTCCGACTGAATTTCGGTTCGCAGTTCATGAAACTGGCCAAGGCGATGCTGGGCGAGTCGCTATTTTCGAGGCTCATGAAGGCGACGTTCTACGGCCACTTTGTCGCCGGCGAGGACGAGGTACAGATCACGCCCGTCCTGGACAGGCTGCGACAGTTCGGCGTCAAGCCGATCCTCGACTATTCCGTCGAGGAGGACATCTCGCAGGAGGAGGCCGAGCGTCGCGAGCTCCAGTGAGTGTGCCGCTGTACCACCACGTTCCGCTCCGTCTCGTTTCGCTTCCCGCTCTTACGTTACTCCATTACGCTGTATTACGCGCGTATCCCCGATTTCTCGAGCGCGGACGCGACATCCTTACGAAAGTAGCGCGCGCCGTTTCGCGACGCGAGTCCCTTCGCCAAGTATGGAATTTAATCCCGCGTGTCGCTTTACCGTATCTCATGATGACGACGACGACGACGACGACGACGTCACCACCGCCGCACTAATATTATCGGCGAACAGCGCTTCTCTATTTACGTTTCCGCCTCTTTCACGCGCTCGGCGATCGGCAGGACACTTCTTTTTCTTTCCTACCTGGGGCGCGCGAAGACCGGCTCGCGCGACGATCGCGGAAAGTTACAGACGCGATCATCGAAAGAAAGAAAAAGAAAGAGACAGAGGAGGGGGGGCGGAAAGGAAGAGATGAGGTAAAACGAAACGCGTCGAATACGTTAACAGCACGCGCTTCTCTTATTTTCAGGGCCTCGGTGTCGGAAGCTGGCGACGAGAAGAGGGAGGGCCCGCTGAAGAAGTACCATGTAGAAAAGTCGTTCGCCGACCGGCGGTACAAGGTGTCGTCGGCCAGGACGTATTTCTACCTGAATGAGGCGTCGTGCGAGCGAAACATGGACATATTTATCAGATGTCTGGAGGCCGTGGCGGGTGAGTCGCTTCTTCAGTTTCCTCCCACCCACGGGCTGCTCCCGTCCTCCTGCTCCTCGTATACCCTCGTCCAGTTTCACGTTGCGGAGCGCACCGGTGCTGCGTGCGTCGCGACGCAGCAATCAACTGCAAAGAAAACCGATTTGCAACCGGAACGTTGCGCGCTCGTTGATGAGCAATCAGACGCGAGCGGTACGCGTTAAATTAATTAATACGTTAGCTGCTATGTGGGTTCTCACTGCTTCGATGCTCGACTGAAGGCGCGGTCATGAAGAATGCACAGCGGATCCGTGCGAGCGATGACACGCGTGTTCGTTAGCGCGTCTCGTTGGCTCCCTGTCGCGCTGAATCGCTCGCTTTCTGCGCATAGATGAATGAGACCCTGCGGCGATTTACAACGTCAGCATGAAGCTGAGACCGGCGCATGGCAGTCAACGCGTTAACGCAACGACGAAGAAAGAGAGCAACATTCAGAACCCGCTCTATATCTGCCCTCTTCGGGTCAGAGCTAAGATTGCCAGATGCGAAATGACTATTTCCGGGACATCTTTTTAGATGACGGTGAATTGACAATTGAAAAATAGGTTGTTGGAGAATTTTAGTTAAATTTGAGAGATAGAGGGATAAGACGGCTAATGCCCGGTTTCTTCATACCTTCCAATAGCTATCTTCCAGATAAAGATATCCGTCAGATAATTAAAAATTCGTTTTCTTCAGTGAAATCTCCGGTTACGTATCTAAAGCCAGCAGCACACGGTGCTTGTTCTCGTGCTGGATTGCTTGCTGGATGAAAATACTACATTCTGATTGGTGCATTTCCATCCATTTTCGGAAATGTACCAATCAGAATGCAGTATTTTCATCCAGCAAGCAATCCAGCACGAAAACAAGCACCGTGTACCGCTGGCTTAACAGATAGCTATTCTTCATACTACTAGCTTTTGACACACAAAATATACTAGAAATATACTATAAATCACCTTATTCTACCAGCGACATATTCTTTCCCGGGTTAGTATTAACTAATTAAAGTAATTTCCACAATATTAACAATCGGTCTTCAATTGCATGTAATAATTCGACCACTGTATCCTTTTTCTAACGAAATCATTCGAAAAATTCTATCATCTCACACTTGAAAATTGTTCGGTTTATTTCTTATTGTATAGGGTTTTTTTCCACAAATTCCTCATCATCATCATCATCATCCTCATCAGATTCAAAAATATTAATATTCATGAGTTCTCGATGCCTCATGAATTTGTCAATAGTTTTATCGTGTTCAGCAGGTCAAAATCTATAAAAAACAATGCTACTTTCACTTACACCTTTTTGGGCAAAAATCGAGGTCTTTTATCCATCCTCCTTGATGTCAACTAAGCCATTTAGTGGTAAAAAATACAATCGCACGTTCATGTCCGAACTTCTTTCTACTGATTCACGCATTTGTTTATTGCGAGTGCACAGCGGCATTTCTTATGCCCAACTTCTTCATCTCTAGATAAATTGTCGATAATTTTATCCATGAGATATCTGCCATAATCGGTTTTCTTCACCTTTGTAAAGTTTATATCCGGCAGATAAACTTATCTGATATCTGAAGTAGCGGATATCTGGCAGATATTGATTTTAGTGCCCTGACATAACCTAAAAATTACAATAATATGTAATCTGCTGTTGCTGTTTTTATGAAAACACAACATGGATTTGTTGTAATGAATATTAATGATTTGAAGTTGATGAAATCGTCGATGAAAGACATATTTCTGGAAGATGCGGACACTTCTGATTGTGACACAGATTAATTGAAAAATAAATCAACTTTCAGCGTACGGAAACAAGCGGAACAAGAAAAAAAATTAAAAAAATATATATAAAACAAAAAATATAACAAAATATAAAAAGATAAAACAAAGAAAACAAGAAAAACAAAAAATATAAAAAATAAAAAGTTAAATACATAAAAATGGAACCAATATCTCGTCACATTCTCGTTCCGGGTTCGGCAGAGAACGAGATTAATAGAAGCAAGAGGTTAAATCAATTTAGCCTTTCTGTTGTGTAGCAGTGTAATAAGATTAACAATTTATCTAATGGGAGGCTAAGTCAGTTTTTAGAGTAGCATTGTAAAACGATTAATAGTTTAGGTAATGAAATGTTAAATGAGTTTCCTAATTAAACACTATTTAACCCTCCATCCCTCCTTCCAGGCCTACATACACACACACACGCACAATCCTCGTTATCTCCCTCTTTAACCGTCCTCTTCATATACAAACACGTCGGATGCATTTTTGTTTTGTGGTAGTCCCTTTCAGCCAATTTCATGTTACCTGCCCAAGCCCCCCCCCCACACACACAGTTGTTTACACCTTCCCTTGCACATACACACATACACAATGTACCTCTTATTCCCGAACCAAAGCGAAAATTCACACGAATGCGTTTTATAATAGCTCCAGACATCAACCGATTTTCTGTAATTTTCTGTAAATACACCATGTTCATGCTCAATTTTCGCCTCATGAACTTGTCAATAGTTTTATCGTGTTCAGCAGGTCAAAATCTATAAAAAACAATGCTACTTTCACTTACACCTTTTTGGGCAAAAATCGAGGTCTTTTACCTATTCTCCTTTCTTAGGTGGCACGTCGAAAAATTCGACCTTATAGATCGCGATGACCGCTCTCAGATTTCTCTCTGGTATCAATCAGAAACATGAATGTTATGATTATGGTTTTGTTGAAATTCTCATTTTCCGGGACAGAAGACTTAAATTCCTGGACACGGAACAAGCTTAAGAATTCCGGCACATTCCCGGAAGTCCCGACCATCTGGCAACCCTAGTCAAAGCCGAGCCCGCGAAATTACTTTTTACGGCAACAACGTCGCTGTGCGATCGCAATGTGTGATGGGAAAAACGCGCGACGACAACGTAACGGTTACGACTCTGTGGCTAAAAGTTACAGAACGGACCTGTCGGGTCGCCGCGCTTGGTTTCTTCTCAACAAAATGACGCGGGCCAAGTCTGACTTTACCGAGGCAGATACAGATCGGACCAAGTTATATTTGACGAGGAATCGAGCCGGATTGGGCCTCGATTTGCGGAGCAGCGAATCTGGCCAGCCTTGAATCGACATCTCGAACGAGAGCGCAACGCGCGGGCCGTCCGTTTTTCCGCGGGTGACAGCGGCGTCGAACCACGTCACGAGGTCGCCGGAGTTCGCGCGGCGCGAAATCGATCGCCGTCCTCGGCGACGGCGGCGCGGGTCTTTCTCGTCAGCGCGAAAGCGCGCGCCGATCTGGCACACACAACATCGAGTTCGACATTATGTAGCCGCGTACGTCGGGCAATCGCCAGAACGAGCGCACCGCGACAAGCGGCGTCAAGCGGCGCGTCGTCCAATGATGACGAACAGCTTGACGACGATGGATCTTTCGAAATTCCGCCAGTCAGAGGTGCGCATCCGCGCTGTTCACGGTCGGCTATAAATATCGGATAGGCGAACGGCTCACCGCGAGCTCTCCAGCCAAATGTTGCGTGACGTAACACCGTTGGGGCCGAGTTTGACGGACGAGAGAGAGAGAGAGGGGGGGGGGGGAGAGAGAGAGAGAGAGAGAGAGAGAGAGAGAGAGAGAGAGAGAGAGAGAGAGAGAGAGAGANGGAGCATTGGATAGTAACGCGAGGACCCAGGTTCGAGTCTACCCGATCCAGTAGATACTACATCCCAGTAGATTTTTTTCTCTCTGACGTATGCCTGACGTCACGACCGCCATCTTATATGACATAGCTATGGGGATTCTAACCCAGGAGTGCTAAGGGGGACGCAGGGAAGCGGGGAACTCAGGGCGCGACGTCATACCCCGAGCCCTGAGTTCCCCGCTTCCCCGCGTCCCCCTTAGCACTCCTGGGTTAGAATCTCCACAGCTAAGCTACTTATAATATATTAGGTTAGGGAAAAGAAATCCATTATTTTTCCGCTAGATGGCTTTAGTGGTATATGTCACGTGATGTATTAATCGCATAGGTTAATATATATACTTGTTGGAAAAGTGACATTCCCGTACTAAAAAAATTCTTTAACGGTTTTGTGATGTGTCGATTAAGTTATGAGTTATAGCACGTAAAAGATGTACGTCAACAAAGAGAAAATTCGGTATATTTTACAATTTTCCTTCGATAAAGGCGAAAATGCAAGCCAGGCGGCTGAAATTGTGAATGGTGTTTATGGTCCCAATAATGTCACAGCCAATCATGCGCAATTTTGGTTTCGTCGATTCCGTTCCGGTAATTTTGATGTTAAAGATGCATCTCTCACAGGTAGGCCCGTTATCGAAAATGTCAATAAAATTATGGAAATGATCGAAGTAGACCGGCATGTTAGCGGTCGTAGTATCGTCCAGGAGCTGAAGATCGACCACAAAACAGTTTTAAACCACTTGCATAAAGCTGGATTCAAAAAAAAGCTCGATGTTTGGGTGCCACACGAATTGACGCAAAAAAACATGATGGACCGAATTTCAATCTGCGAAGCCTTGACCAAACGGAACGAAATCGAGTCATTTCTGAAACGGATGGTGACTGGGGATGAGAAATGGATTACATACAACAATATTGTGCGAAAACGATCGTGGTCAAAGCGTAGCGAAACGGCTCAAACGGTGGCCAAACCAGGATTAACGGCCAGGAAGGTTTTGCTGAGTTTGGTGAGACTATAAAGGAATCATCCACCATGAGCTGCTTTCATATGGCCAAACATTAAATTCGGACCTCTATTGTCAACAATTGGACTGTTTGAAGCTAGCGATCGACCAGAAGCGGCCAGAATTGGTCAATAGGAGAGGAATTGTTTTTCATCAGGACAATGCCAGGCCACATACGTCTATAGTGACTCGTCAGAAACTCCGGGAGCTTGGTTGGGAAGTTTTGATGCATCCACCTTATAGTCCGGACTTGGCATCAAGCGATTATCATCTGTTTTTGTCATTGCAAAACTTCCTTGATAGTAAGAAATTGACTTCAAGAGAAGACTGTGAATATCGCTTAGTCGAGTTTTTTGCAAATAAGGACCAGGGCTTCTATGAAAGAGGGATCATGAAAGTATCTTTAAAAGGGCGACAAATTGTAGAATAAAACGGTGCTTATTTGAGCAAAATCGAACAATCCTAACTATGTTAAATAAAGCCTTGAAATAAACGAAAAATAATGGATTTCTTTTTCCCCAACCTAATATAATATAAAGTACGAATCATTATGTATAATAAATGAAATATAACTTATATTTTGCAGGAGGACATAGGACTGATAATCTGCTTGTACATGGCTGTCCTTTGCATTTGTATGAAGAGAAAACTGTATTTACTCTGTGGAATTTATATTTCAATTCCTTTTCGGTGTTCGTATCACATATGTGTGTAGCCTTCTTTATTTTCTTCTCAGTTTTGTATAAGCGTTACAAATGTTTTAAACATTATTAGTAATTAGTCAGTTAAACATTATATTAGTAATAACAAACAAAATTTAAAAGGAAAGCTGTCTTCTTTTACCTCTTACAGTATTCGTCAAATATTCAGCGAATTCTATAAGAAGGCCAATCAGTAAATTCTGGGTATTGCATGTCACAGGGAAATTTTGTGACAACGAATCTTCCACTTGACATCTTCGTCTGAAATTATATGAAGAAATACTTGTGCGAGTAACATTATACAAAAGATGTCGCTTGAATTTGATTGTACTACGT